GAGTAATGCAAAAAGTACGGTAACATCTCAACTGTTTTCGCATAAGTTAGCGCAGTTCTTTTGTGAACCACGGCTTACTTCTCGCTTTCCTAGCCGTTTAGTGTCACCATGGAATGAACGCATCTCGCAAGTCGACCATTTTCTTTTTCAAATGAATCCACAATTCATTGACGTTCATTTGTTCAACAACGGTCTCAAACGCGACAAAGTTTCTATTTAAAGACTCGTTTATTTTTTCAACATTAGCTTTAGAATAACTGTATACGTGCCTTTGGTCGCACACTGATGATTTAAGGTAATGTACATTCATTTCACATATCACAGCATCATGATCGCTAATTCCAGGCACGATGTAAGTAGCTGTTGTGAAACTAGGTTGGTTTGTAAAAAATAAATGAAGGATATTATTTCTATGTGTTGGCTGCAGTACCATTTGGTGTAGTGCATGCAGATTGGCAATATTAATCATCTCTTGAGCAGATGCCCCAGAAGGCGATATCGTGGGTGAGTGCTGATGCCAATATATGTTTGGCAAATTAAAATCTCCTCGATAATCATGAACTCCGAATACACGACATCAATGGCACTTGCAAGCTCTGGCATCACATCTGTGGGAGATTCAGGTGCACGATAACAACTACGCATAGTTAATAGTTTCTTATTTGCCAGCTCGAGTTGACCCCAGGCAGCTTCACATGTCCCGACGACAACGTCAACTTTGAAGGACACTATGTTGCTTTTAACTAAAATAAATACACCACCATCATGACCATTTCTATCTTTACGGTAGCACGTGTAGCCTGCCGGACACACCTCGTCGTCACTTATTTCCTCATTCAACCAAGATTCAGTTCTGAGTACCACAGAAGGCCCGGACATCTGTAGAAATGAGAAAAATTCATCCAGTTTATTTTTAATGCTTCTGCAGTTAATTACCAAGAAATAAAGGTTCACCCTTCCAGATTGACAAGGTCATTGCAGCGCTAGAACTTGGTGTTTCTCTGTGTCATAATCGTATTTTTTACCATTAAGTATCAGTGTGTTATATTTCAGCACGACCTTTTCACTTTCGCTTTTATGTGTTTCCGCATATTCCCACAGTATTTTTCTTTTCTGATGCACCTGATGAGAAAAATCTTCAGAGACAGTAATAGTGGAGCCTTTTAATTTACTACCGTTATGAAGAACGTCTTGCTTTTCCTTAAAATGAAGAAACTTGGCTATTAACGGTCTATTTCTGCCAATTTGAAATTCACCGAGTCAGTGTGCACATTCTATAGTTAAAAGAACGTATGCCCAACTTGGAGCTACATATTTGAGTACGGTAATGTGATTCTCTGATTCTTTGCTTGCTTCGTTAGCTTCGGTATCTGTCACTCTATAAAGGCAAGGTTATGTCATCGACTACGGTTTTCTAGTTTACCAACTTTTCTTGTCAGTGACACTATTTTTTTTCTTTTGGTTTTCTTGCATTTCAGCACAGTCTAATATTGAACCATTAAGTTTGCCAATGTTCGACACTTTTGCTTCTATCATAGTGATACGACCAACCCAGCTCACCTATTGCTAATCTGTTTTCCGCCTGCCCAACTTCAATAGCACTAAGCTTCTTTTTAATAGCACTTTGACCATCCAGAAGTTGTTGCAATTTTGTGCCTACTGCCAGTCCTTGGGTCAAGTTCCACATCCCCGCATAAAAATAGAAGTAGAAAGTAGAACTAAAGATGCTGTAGGAAGCGAAAAGTACGCCTAAACCGAACCGTGTCATTTGAGTTGGGCACAACACAATCAAATAACACTTGGCGTGGAACCGGCAAAACAAATACCCCATAGTTTTGATCCAGAACCTCGCCACTGACCTGCAAGAACAACAGGAAACGCCTGATTGACACTGCAGAAACCATGCGGATTCCACGCCCTGCTGACTCGGTGGAAACGCCCGCCTTATGTAGTCCGTTGAACTGAAGCGATTTGTGACGTAAGATCCAATGTTTGTAGTCGGGCACTGGACATCTGCCAAAATCCGTCGAAGCACATACGTTATTTTTTTTTCGTATGTTGTACCATCAATGCTACGTCAGTCAGTGCTTCTCCTATTATCCAGCTTTCGCTGGGATGTGATTCTTGATGTTGGTCTTCGCATGACATGCCACCGATCTGCAAGAACAACAAGAAATGCGTGAACGACACTGCAGAAGCCATGCTGATTCCACACTCTGGTTGGACTATAGTTGATTTTGCAACTGCTTAGAGCTTTGTACAAAGGTTGTAAGATGTTTTGTTTTCATTAGTGCGTGTTGTGTGTTTCATATTCGTGTGTTATTTCGATAAAGTGAAGAAAACAGAAAACAGCCTCGTCATCTTTCTTATGGACGTTGTGGTCAATAATGCTATGAAATTTGTTTAATTAAAACATTCCAAAGAACTTTATTACAACGACTATAGTTAGACCATTATTAGAATATGCGGACATGGTTTTGGACTCGTATACCAAATGCGATAGTGACTGCATTGAACGCGCTCAAAAAAAAAAAAAGCGCTAAGATTTGTCTTCTACGCTTACGGCAGGCATGTTTCCATTACTAGCCACAGACATTTCAGTGAACTTCCAACTCCAGAATCATGCAGGAAATAGCACCGACTGCAAATGCTTTACAATATTGTAAACCATAAGGTTAGAATGAGCTTCACAGGTTATATGCTGTATAAGAGTGCAAGGTCAACGAGATGGAAGTACAGTAAGACGATTGTAAGGTCACGAGTTAAAACAAATGCATAGCAATGTTAGTTTTTTTCTTGAACGATAGCAAAATGGAACGAGCTTTTGTGAATAGTGAATTTCAGGTTCGAAGTGAATTCAAAGTGAATAGTGATTTTTATCGAATAATTTCAAATTGAATTCGAATAGTATATATGGCGTGTCAGGAAAAATGGCCGTATTTATTATAACCTAACTAACCTGCACAATATTTTTTTTAACGAAAATCAAGCCTCTATGCAACTGCTTTTTTTTTTTTTAATTCAAAGGAAGTCGACACAACTTTGAGTAGTAGCAGGATTTGACTTTCCGTATAATGCAAGTGATAACCTTTAATATATGTAACATGTCAAAATTTATTATAATCATACATATAAGCCTGCATAACAAGCTTTTAAGCTGTAAAGAATTATGAATCGATTAGAGAGTAATATCTTCATTTAAAGGGGCCCTGCAACACTTTTTGAAGTAATCATAGGATGAATTCACTGAAGAAGCTTATTGTCTCATGAATTCACAGCTGCAAAAATCTTTAGAAACCATGCAGTACGAGCAGAGTTGCAAAGATTTGTTGCACGCTGTAATTTCATTCTCCCTTCTCGTCCCAGTGAAAGCACTAAAGCTAAGTGAAGAGGGATGGTGTGAAGAAAAAAAATACGTCACGTGGGCTTCGTGAAATTGAGCACTTTTTTTTTTTCTTCGAATAAGTGGTTTTTTAGTGGGATCGTGCATGCGCGCGTTGACAAGTCGTGGCCTCTCATGGCAGTCTGAGTAACGATCTAGCGGGCCATGCTCAAATAAACAAATAGCTAAAAAATGGCTTTGACGACTCATTTTTGATTTTGTGGTGTCATTTGCCAAGAGAAACGAGAAATTTTTAGCTGAGTTTGAGAATTATTTGTCAATTATACCCCTCGTACCACACAGTATTATTTGGCTTGCATGTTTTCGGTAGCCTCGACTACCGATTGGCAGCGTTTTTTGCCCATGCTCTAAAGGAGTTGCAGGGCAACTTTGAACTGGAACTGAAGCTTCAACGACAGAGCAGGTTTTTCTTGAAAAGGTGCCTTCGCGGCTCAGCTTTTCTGCAATGCCGTGACACCAGCTTTACAGGTGGTTACATGCAGACTAATATACATCTATTCGTTCGTAGCGAATACTTTGAAATTTTCAATAATTTAAATTCAAATTGAAGTGAATTTGAATACTCTACTATTCATTCGAATGTTTGAAGCATTCGAATATTTTCACAAGCCTACTTCATGCCTTCACAAATGCAGTGCAAGATTATCTGTGATGTTTTATGCAGTCCATTTCATTCTTTTGCGGTATGCATCCATGGGCAGAAGCTATCCTTGAGTTCACATTCTTTGATTTTGTTTCATTTATCTTAACTCTCAAGTTGCGGACTCTTGTTCAATATTACGTATACATTTTTCTGGTGTTCAGTTACTAGCCCTGTACATATTATTGCTCCCCTATCCTTCCTCAGTGTATTATTGCAAATGCTATCGGACCTGTTTTTCATGCTCGGGTCTTCAGTTCCCATTCGGTCACAAGTGTTGAGGTTATATGTGCTTTTAATCTGATGTGTATTTCTTTTTTTTTCCATTTGTTGACTGAAACAATAGATTGTGTAATATTGCAATGTGATGTGAACACTCGTACCATAGCTCCCAAAAGGCAGCTGGCATTATCTGATAGACAAAAAATAAAAAATAAATAAAAGCTTGTTCTTTATCACCTATTAACTGTGGCACATACCCATTTCAGGCACTATTCTTCATCGTGGTCAGCCTCTGCATGAAACACTAAATTCTCACAAAGTTCATTGCAAGTGTTTAGCGGACACCAGGCTTCTCCGAAGGATGACAAAGGATAGCATAATGAATGCCGTCATACTACACAGAAATTATCATTATTTATGGCTTACTGGGTACCCTGCAAGTATGCTTCTAGCATGTACCTAAAGAGTGCTTAAAAAAGGCCCTGAAAAGCTGCTCACAGCTTTCGCTGTGACGTGTGTTGCACGTTCCATGCAGGCCTGGTGATCTTTTTGTTTTGTTTTTCACTGAACTGGCAGAAATTGTACATCATCAGGAACGACACCTTACTGCTGTGCTTCAACTAACATTCACAAGGGCTGTGCACTCATTTATTAGGAGGTCTTTGTTCTTGACAGTTTTATTTGTTTTTTGTCAGTTAATTTTGTAAGCCTGTGTTTTTCATTTATTTCATCAAGTCTTCACTGATGATGTGTGAGGAAGAGGACCGACCAAGTGTGGAGTCCCCTCAAGCCATTCTGCAGCGTGCTTGGCAGGGCAGGTATGAAGCTCCCCAGCAGCCCGCAGCCCACATCGACCCCGTTTTGGTGGCCAGCTGGGCAGAAACCCTGGCAAGCAACGCCTGCATCGAATGCCCCAATCAGGTATGGGGACTTGCTTTCAAAACAGCTTCAAGAAGTAGTAAGCACAAGCAATGTGGTTGTAAAGCATGCTTCATACAATACTACAGTAGATCCTGGATATATTAAACTCGAACAGGATTGTGAAACAGTTCAATATATCATAATATATGTGTAATTAAGCAATAGCACTTTGACTTGGGCGAGTTGTCACCGTATATACTCGCATAATAATCGCATTTTTCTTTTTTTTTTTTCAAAAATCGACTCCAACTTCGAGATGCGATCATTACGTGGGGTAAATTTTTCGTGAAAAAAATATTCTGAGCACCGGAAACACAAAAATGTCACTAATCAGAATTCTTACGGTAGCTATCATGAATATAACCAAAAATAAAAGTTATTTAAGGCTTACCTTTGTAATAAAATGCACGCAATACGCAGGAGCTACATGCATGGCACACTACCCTTTTATTTTTTACCTCTCTGACCCCCTAACGTTCATTCGGACTTTGAAGCATCACTGACGTCAGTGTCGTCGTCGCACGATTCCCTGTCGGAACTGGCAGTGTCTTCACTGTCCCACAGAGGGTCATCTTCCGTTCCAGTCGAGCGCGTTGAATATACCAGCGACAGTCCATTCCGTTGCATGAAGCGTGTCGTCTAGCCGGAACTGGCGCGGAAGTCCTTTGTGGCTATTCCCAGCCTCCGGGAAACTGTGCACGCCTGCGTCCGTATCATGTCTAATGACACTGCATAACCGTCCTTGCGCGTGTCCTTCACATATTCAAGGACTGCCTTTTTAATGTCAGAGAACTTGCCAGATTTGGGTCCGTGGAAAGCCTATCACGTGCTGTTAGTAGTCATGAGCATGTCGCACTGTTTTTTCCAATATGGGATCCGGATTTCGTCGACACTGAAATGTCTGCCGGCAGCGCGGTTGCCGTGCTCTAGCGCATAGTCAAGCGCCTTCAGCTTAAACGCGGCAGTAAAGCTTCCATACCGCCCCATGGTGAAACGGCGCTTCAACAGACGATCACAAAGCACACAAAAAAAAACGTGGTCAGGAAAAAAAAACATTGTTGCGGGATTAACACAGGTCGACCAACAGGCGGCCGCTACTGTAATGGAAATGGTAGTGTATAGGTGTTCTGTGGTAACAGTGCGGGATGTCAAAACAAACGTGGCATCTGACGGAGCGAAGCACTTCGTGGAGCGAAGCCACCGCATTTTTTTTCTTTGCGTCAGTTATAGAGATAGTGAGTACGTAACGCGCGTCAAAACAGTTTCTTCCATTTAAATAAGGAATGCTTTCATTTAAATCGGTAAATTTACGGCATTAGCATAGGGATGCCCGCTTTCAGATCACAGAAACAATCATAGGCGCGTTCAGCTAGACTTGGCGCATGACATGTCGATGCGCAAGTTCAGGGTGCGATAATTACGTGGGGGAAAAAAAAAAGTTGAATTTAGACGACAAAATTTAGGGGTGCGATCATTACGCGAGTAAATACGCTACATACTTAGATAGGCTTCAGCGCGTATGAGACAAAGGCAATGAAGACACACAGAACACAGACGAGCGCTAACCTTTAACTAAAAAAGGATTTCCTCTCGCCAAAACCTGAAGATGCTTCTGTAGGTATCCGGTGATGAGGCGTTGCCACATACCTCTTTTGGAGACAATAACTCGACAGGGTGCTCGAGCCTTGTGAGTCTTCAACGTGAAGAATACTTCAAGAGATCCCTTTGGTTGCTTCTTAACTTGTTTTCTGAGGTGCTCGAGGTTTAGTCCTTTCAGTATTTGCAGTACTTTTCTTTTTTGTTTCTGGTGGTTGAAATCAACCTGTTTGAAGTCCTCGTCGATTGTGATGGCAGCCTTTTCATTGAACAAGGGTTTCGAGAGCACCGAGAATCCACCTTCTTTGTCATCAAGAAGAGTCGCCAAATTGCGCTCCTCGATAGCCTTGGCAATTTTCGCGAAAAGGGGCTTTGACGATGGAATAGATCCAACATTGCGCTTTAGGCAGGCCACACCTTCGGACAACGCGGGGTTTCTACTGTGCTCACCACTGCAGTCCGCAATCCTCCGTACACACCCTCTGTGCGCCGCCAGGAAATGCTAGCCATGATACAGAGGATCACCCTCAGAAACAAAAAAGAAAAGTACTGCAAATACTGGAAGGACTAAACCTCGAGCACCTAGAAAAACAAGTGAAGAAGCAACCGAAGAGATCTCTTGAAGTGTTCTTCACGTTGAAGACTCACGAGGCTGGAGCACCCCTTCGAGCTATTGTCTCCGAAAGTAGTACGTGGCAACCCCTTATCGCACGGTACCTACAGAAGCATCTTCATGTGTTGGCGAGCGGAGATTCTTTTTTAGTTGGGAGTCAGCGCTCGTCTGTGTTCTGTGTGTCTTCTTTCTCTTCATCTAATTCATCCTAAAGACTATCTAAGTGTGTAATTAAGGCCTAACTTAAACCATTTCAGGCCTCAGAAATTGTATAATTCGCATGAAAATAGTTCGTAAACTTGTCTTGCTTCCTGCGTGCCATCAATTTCCAGTCTACCTCAATATCAATGAAACTTTTTAAATAAGGGAATTCAGCTCTTGTGGCCAATACAGTGTTGATTAACACAGAACGCCGATGTAAGCTTTGAAGCTTGGCAAAAGGTCGATTAGCGGCGGCAGCGAAGGCGTTGGCATCTTCATAACCGCACAAGTACACTTCCGCGACACCAGCAACGCCAGCCATGGTTTCAGTATTGATGCAGTCAGAAACATCCTTGTCGTCATCCTCACTGATGAAAACATTCGCTGTTTGAGATGATGCCCAGGAACGCTGATAAGTTGCAGAATTCACTGAGGCACTTTTCGCTGTTGTCAACGGTCATGACTCCCCTGAAGTCGTCACCCGGCCCACAAGGAAAGTTTACGACGGTGTTTACTTGACGTTGCTCTAAGTGCCAGTCATAATTTCTATCGCTACGTGTGGGTCAACGTTTTGTTCAACTCCCAGGTGGGGATTTATCACAAACAGGGCGAAAAGCACGCAATTCCTCAAGGTGCAAAAGGCCACGCCAAGTTCTCACCATCGACACGTTGGCGGTATCGATGTCACTTGTGGCTTTGTAGCTGGCAGCTGCTGCTTTGATGTGAAAAAAACTAGGAAAAACGTAGCCTCTGAGACATGTGTTTTAAAACCAAAAACACTAAAATATGTCTCAAGGTTGCACATCTTGAAGGCCATGCTTTTCAGGCTTGCGTGCTATGGTGTGCTAACAAACGATGAAGGGAATGCCAACATTGCAACAAGATTGCCGAGTCACTTCCCATTTTCATTTTAGTATCCTCAGCAATCGGTTTTCTTGAAGAACTCTGGCAAAAGTTCCTAACGGGCATGAAATCGTATATACATATGAGGTTAAAGTGTGGAGCATAGTTAGTAGGGTAGCAGGAGGACAAGCATGTTGATTGTCTTTCGTAAACATACGAAGTGACTGCTTGAAAAACCAGGGGAACTACCTATGTGCACACTTCGAGCAAGTATCGAGCAGGTTTTCAAAGGTACAAGACAAGAATGAAAAAACTGGAGACCAAATACAGTCGAATCTCATTAATTCGAACATGCTTAATTCGAACTTCTGGTTAATTCGTACTCACGATGAGGTCTCATTAAAGCTGTGTGTATTTCAATGGGCGAAAATGCCCGGTAATTCAAACGCACATGCACTTGCAACGATTAATTCGAACATACTGCGCTCCGAAAGTGCTCTCAGCACCCCGCCCAATCCCGTGGCGGAACCTTCGACACCTCAGCGCTGCGCGAAGGAAAGGGAAAGGAAAGAAAAGGCTGTGGGCGAATGTTCGCGCTCTTTCAAATGCCGATCTAAGACGCGCCTGTGTCACGCTTCTCCCTTTTCCGTCGCTGCCACGTAAAGACCCTTTTCTATCCAACTCCGCGAGCAAAGGCACAGAGGAAAAAAAAAAAACCAAGCTGTAGCAGATTGTGGCTTTCTCTTACACGTCGTTGCCACGCTTTCTCCTTTCCCATCTCTGCCACGTTAACCTTCTCCTTTCAACGACGCATGTGACAAGAGCAAAAAAAAAAAAAAAATGCCCATCTGCTTCTCTCCACGTGCAGGCACTCTTCTTTTCTCGTTACAAGCTGGCCACGCTGCAGCTTTAGCGCAGAGGGTAGTAGCGGAGATGCAGTCACTGTTGTCGTCGTCTTCAGAGTGTGTCGGCGCTGGACATCGCCACGCACAACTTCTCTTGCCAGGAGAATGCTGAAGCCGAAGCATACATGCTTTGCAAGCTGCCTGCAAAGTTGATTGACTCGCTGCAAGGCAAAAGTGTGCAGACGCGCATCACCGATTACTTCAATTAGTGACAGATGTCCTGTGATTAGCAAATAAATGTAACTCTTCAGAAACTTCCCTCTCGTGTGTTAGCTCAATGCACATGCACCATTGCATAGGGGGCCCTCCGTTTACTTAGCTTTCATCAATTCGAACTTCTTTTAATTCGAACAAATTTTCGGGCCCCTCTGAGTTCGAATTATCGAGATTCGACTGTACAAGGCAAACAACCAACCTTTCTGCTTGGCTGAACTACAGATATCATTAAACAGCTGACCGCGTAGTATGTGAAATGTTGAAAAGCATACCTCTTGAAAATCCTAAAAACTTTACTTTCTCTGTATGGTGTCATCTGGTTTTACCACAGCATCTCTACTTCTTGAAAAGAGGCCATCGTCATTCCTGTTTTGAAACAGGGTAAAAATTCATTCTTTGATATTAGTCACTGGCCCATCACTATAACAAATTGCCTTTGTAAACTTTTCAAAAAGCTGATAAACCGCTGACTTATAGATTTATTTGGAACAAACAATCTACTTGGCTCACACTAATATAAATTTTTTTAGGGTAGATACATCGCTGACCACCTGTTACATATCGATGCACAAATCAGTCATGATTTCCTGCATAAGCAAATGCTTTCTTTCTGTGTTTCTCATTAT